TTTTCTTTTGAAGGGAGACAATTTTATAAACTGCTGAATGCATGGTTTCCAGAGCCTCTGGCGTTCAGCAAGAGAGACTTGCTTTTAGTCTAGCTCTTCTGTTCCTATATTAAAGGATACATTTTCAAAGCAATAGGGGCATGTTGCTGGTACAAAGAAGTCCTGCCCACAAATAAGAGGATGTAGGTGTGTAGTTGCTTTGAAAATTTAACCTGAGGGGGAAGGCAGTAGAATTGTTTCCCTGTGACTTATAATGATATTGCAATAAAACAGAACTTGCTTCTTGTGACAGTGCTGGTCTTCTGTTGTGCTGGAGACTTGAAATAAGTCTCTCTTGAATGGGGAAAACTGGTTTTGCATGCAGCCATGTGTCATTTGGTCAGCTGACAGAACATGAGTTGAATCCGCAAGGAGGCTATTTTCAGGAAGAATCAACCCAATAAAACCCTTCCTGGATTACTTCACACAAAGTTGGCTGGCAGCCATAGTGGTAAAAATGAGCTATGGGGGTGAGATTGAAATAGAACAATTTGGAGCAGCTACAGATAGTGAGATCTGTGCCGTGGATAGCCAGAAACTGGGACTGGGGGCCAAGACTGTTAGGTAGATAATGGTCCCGGTGCCCAGCTGGCTGAGGATTCAGCGCTTGGCAAGTGAAGGAAGCCCAATCTGATGATAGAATGCTCACCAAGTTGGAGAGAAGTCTCCGAAGATTTTATTTGAAATCAGCTTGCGGTAGCCCACTAAAGATAGCTGAGATACATTACACAGAAAAACATGCACTTTTATACACCTTACAGGTTCAAAATTCCTGCCGCCTCCAGCTGGACCCAGCTTTGCCATGATTGGCTGAGCAGGAATTTGGTGTGCCTCCGCCAGTGAGAGAGTGCCATCTGCCTCAGATGGAGATTTCTTTCTGTCTAAAGGCTGGAGGGGGGCTGGTGAGCTTCAGAACAATGGGTGAGATAATGACTGATGATGGGATTAAGTAACCCTGATGTGTTGGCACAATGACCCTAATGGGTTGGCCAAAAACTTTATTGTTTTCGCAAGAACAAGTTGGTGACTTCTACAATACTTTCAATTAGACATACACAAGGAGCTGTGGTTACAGGGGTACCCAATACTGAAGGCCTGGTCTCCACAGGTTAGGGGTACACATACAAATCGGGGTCCATGAAGACCTTGAGGGGCTCTGATCTCCCTTGAGTGGGGGGTGTCAAGGGGAAATCAGGGAGGCAGGCAGGAGCCCTCGGGATGGGCCAGGAGGAGCAGCTGCACAAGGACTCCAAGTTGCGGGAGGGCAAACGGAGCCGGCGGAGGGAATTCCAGCCTGCACACCAGCCTCCCTTTATGAGGTATGCTAAAATAATGTATAAGCATTAAAATTAATATAGTGTCCCTACTTTGTGGATTTTCACTTACTGAGGTTGGGCCTGCAAAGAAACACCCGCGATAAGTGAGGGAACACTGTGCTGTATATGTTTTATTATGTTGGATACAGCATTATAATTGAGGGGATGGCAGTGCAGACCCTGCAGTGGGTCTGCAATGCTTCTTCCCAAGTCTCATCAGCTAGCGAGAACCCAGAAGTGGCTTGAATCCAGTGATGGGAAAAGACAAAGACACAGAAAAGAGAGGGAAAATCTCAGTGTCTTTGTTCATTTTTATTAGTTTAAATTGAAGAATGGATAGTGGGGCTCCAGTTGAGGTTGCTGGCCGTTGCTGGAGCTGCCTGTAGGAGGGCAGCCACCCTTGATTGTTGGAGTGCAGAGGGACCTGCAGAACCCCCTGCTGCAGGTCCCAGTTGAGTCATTGAAGCCAGTAAAAGGGAGGGGATTCCTTTTGGGATTCAATAACAAGATCTTGTTCCAGGAAAGATATTGTAAGGTTTGCCCAGGCAGAACTATATATCTTCCCTCGATCTCTCCCAGGAGGGTTCCCTTTCCTTCTGCAACCCTCCTTTTCAGAGGCTGATGTTTGTTGGGGAAGTATCTAAACATGTATCAGTAACCAAATGAAAAATGACAACAACATCCTTCAGCTGTCAGGAGGACCTTCAAGATGCCTGGTAAGGTGTGCAGATAGTCTTCTGATGCCCCCCTATTCTCTCCCAGCTACTAAAGAGCTGTGGAGGATGGTCTCCAAAAGGAGGAAGATGAATCTTGTAGGGGATTGGTCATTATGTCAGGTTTTAGTGAATTCTTTTGACATTGACATTAATAAACATATGTCAGTACCAAATGCCTTTGAATATATTCCTATATTTTTTTAAAGTGAACCAATCTAGTCATCATATTTCAGATTAATATATCAGTATGAGCCCAGTTATCCTTCAGATGTCTCCAAATGCTGTGTCACAGCCCCATGCTCAAAAAGAGAACCTGCATCCACTGAGAGGTGCTCCATATCCCAATAGGTCTGAGGGAGAGTAGAGCAGCCAGCAACTGCTGAACTAAATCCATCCTCTTGCTATCATTCTTTATTCCCTTATGTGCCATGTCTTATTTAGATTGAAGACCTAAGGGCAGGACACTTTGGACTTCATGATTTGTAAGTTGCTCTGGGAGCCTTTTTGGCTGAAGGGTGTGGTAAAATTAATTTAAATGAAAATAAATAAATAAACCTGATAATGCATTCATTGTGTACATTGCTTGCAAAAAGCCAAGGGGAGTTGTGTTTGAAAATGAACCATCTATTATGGAGAATTGCACACAAAAGTGTGCATATTAGGAAACGTTGCATACAAAGACAAATATACTGTACAATTAAGTACATGCTGTGTGTGAGGGCGAGGGGGTTAACTACACTGATGAAAATCCATCCTTTTCACTCTGAGTGGAAATGACAGTTTGACAAGCTAAACAACTTGCATATAATTCTCACAACCTTTTTTGGTTAGTTTAGTTTGCTTGTTTGCTAAGAATTTCAAAAGCATCCAGATTCAAGGAGGGAGGGAGAGGAGTTCCTTTTGAAAAAACCAACAGGTGGAAATTTGCTGCCCTCTAGTGGGTAAAGAGCATGAAAAAGAAAAGGAATTCGGAAAGAAATGTTTAAAGATAGGACTTCAGCACACCAGTGTTACACTTGCACACCACCGCATCCTTCAAATGTCCTGATTTTGCAGTAACAATCCTGACTAATCCTGTCACCCCATTTGTCAGTCTTTTCTACTATTTTCCAATGCAGAAAAGAGTTTAACGTGCAAAAGTACTATGCACTTAGTGAACTCTGTGTGGGGAGAGGAGGAGATGCAATCTTTTTCCCCCCTGTAGACTCAGAAAAAACATACTCTGCAGCCTTTCCTATCATGTGTGTTTTTCCTCCTTAATAAGTTTTGCCTTCTTGACCACATTCTGTCCTTGTTTGCCACATGTCCCAGTTTCATTTGTGAAATGTTAGAGGATATATTTTTTATTTATCATATCAAAAGCGAATCCAGAGTACAGTTGTAATGTATTTAAAAACACACACAAACAAACTTGGCATTATACTAAACATCCTTTGACCAGTAGCTGGCCACTTGCAGTGCCTCTGGTGTTGCTATAAGAAGGCCCTCCATTGTGCATTTGGCAGGGCTCAGAATTCATTGTAACAGGTGGTCTGTGGTTTGATCTTCTCCACACTCACATGTCCTGGACTCCACTTTGTGGCTCCATTTCTTAAGGTTGGCTCTGCATCTCATGGTGCCAGAATGCATTCTGTTTAGCGCCTTCTACATCCACTGTTTTAGCATGGCGAGATGTGTTCCACACTGGGTATGCATATTCCACAGCAGAATAGCAAAGCACATGGGCAGATGTCTTCACTGTATCTGATTGTGATCCCTAGGTTGTGCCAGTCAGCTTTCGTATGATATTGTTTCTAGCACCCACTTTTTGCTTGATATTCAAGCAGTGCTTCTTGTAGGTCAGAGCACAATCCAGAGTAACTCCCAGGTATTTGGGTGTGCTGCAGTGCTCCAGTGGGATTCCTTCCCAGGTGATCCTCAAAGCTCGAGATGCTTGTCTGTTGTTAAGATTAAAAGCACATGTCTGTGTTTTAAATGGATTAGGAATCAGCTGGTTCTCCCTGTAATAGGCAGCAAGAGCACCTAAAGCTTCAGAGAGTTTCTGTTCAACCATTTCAAAGTTCCCTGCTTGGGTTGCTTCCAGAAGTGACCAGAAGTGTTAGAGGATATGATACACTCACAAACAAATTTCACCAAGACTACCCATCTATGTCACCAATATCTAATGAAGAGTTTTTCACAATATAGGGTCACTTTTAGTTTTTGAGAACAGATCAGGTGAAGGTAGCACATGGACAGGTGACAGAGCCAAAGCAAAGATGGTTGGTGGATTTTCCTCATCTGCTATAAAATTTGCATAGTTGCATAAATACAACAATATCAAAGAGTTTCTTTAGTTTGAATTATCTTGCGAATTCACTGGATGTAGGGACTTTCTGTTTGCTGCTCACCAAATAAATCCTGAATGTGTGCTGCCAAATAAATTTATAATAGAGATAAATTTCTATAATCTTCCTTTAAAACCAGCCAACTCATCATTTTATGTACTGTTCCATGCCACTACTATATTCCTGCACCACAATCAATGACTGCATGAATCTCATCTGATCATTTCTCATGTGTATTTCAAAATTCACTACAATAGGGAAATTGTTTTTATTGGCGTCGCCCATTCTCTCTTTGCAGGATATGTATGATAATTATCATACATAACTGCAGGTTATGTATGATAATTCAGAGATTTTATGAAGAAGCCACACGTGTTATTAAATTCATTGACTTAAACATTTGGTGAGAACATGCTAATTTATTGCCTAAAAGGTTTGCCTTTTGTTTTTCACTCAAAGTTGTTTTAAAATTAAAGGAAGGAAACACAAAGTTTATTTTCAGTTACAGAAATGAAAAGAGTTTATGTATCTTATAACAGACAGCAAGATTTAATATGGTTTTCCATTGGTGTGCAATACAGATGTGTGCAACAGAATGTGAAGTCAATCTTTTTTCGCCCAAATATTAATTTTCCTTATTAGCAGCCATGGCTTTTGTGATGCTGTGGGGTGTATTCTAAGGCAGTCAATGTCATCATTGTTATTGTTCTTTTCCATTTCAAAACGCCCCTCCTTGAAATCTCCAATCCACTGGAAAGTTAGGCATGTTTGACCCCCATGCCAATGGATTTTGTGCCTACCCTGTTCTACAAAGCCATAATAGAGAATGTCCTTCTTATATTCGGCTGACCCTGTATAAATCTGAATCTTCTGGGGAACAACTGGACGTTTAAAGACAACAGTGAAGAAACTCTCTGATGTTACATTCATACCCCAAAACACACCCTCGCTGGGAGGACACACATTGCCTGGCACATAATGTGAAAATATGGGTATGTTTGTGAAACATGAAGCAACTGGGGAGTCTCCAGAAGGTCCAAAGTCTTCTTCAAATTCTGGATCCTGGATTTGAAATTCCATATTGTGAAATGAAGATAATCTACCTATATGTTGAAAGAGCGAAGGCCGGAAAAATATGGCATTATCCTGGCCTTTTGACTTATAGAAAAACTCTAGAAGCCAGTCTGCAGGCACTGCATCATAAAACATCAAGAGGAACCGGGCCAGTTTAATAAGATCAGAGCTATGATAGAGTTTCCCAATGTAGCCCAATCTTGAAAATGCAATTGTGGTCCAAGGTGTTCCTCTGTCCTTTATATAGTTTTGTATAATGGATATAAAATTATCAGCGCAGACAATGTCATCTTCAAGCATCAAATAATACCAAGAGAGACCAGCACAGAAGTTAACTAAATAAGCATAGTCCACATTCTGTTTGGCTCTACACCCAATTCCTCCTCTGTTATACCATGGATTTGCTTTTGGGCTGCTTAAAGGTGGGTAACTGGCGAGATGACTTTGTATAACAAGCAGTGTTCCCTCATTGACATGCTCACTAAATTTAGCCTGAATTTCTTTGGTGCTGCGCTCATTGAGCTGAGAACTATTGTTAGCAAGGTATATAACCAGGATGGTCATTTGTAGTTCTTCTGGAGAAGACTGTCTTAAAATGGACTCAATTGTGTTCAGTAAATGATGCTCCTTTTCTTTATAGACAGAAGAAATACCAATAGTCAGCAATCCTAGAAGAAGTGGAAACGATTACATTACATTTTATATGGCACTTTGTTTGTGAAGCAATTCACATACGTATTCCAGTGTTCCTGAACAATGATATAAATGAATAATTAGAATAAGAATACAAATTAAAATGATTTGCATAATTACAAAGCAATTGCTTGGATCTGAGAAGTATAGGAACCCTGTTTACATTTCACTCGTTTCAAATAGTGTATCATTACTGTTGCCGTTGGCACGGTATTTATTGTTGGTGTTGTCTAGACCTGGCTCCCTATCTGCAAGATGAAGAAGAGGCAAAACCAATGGGCTTGAACCAGAAAAGCAGGAGAACCAGAACTCCATTCTTGCAGCTGAAACCCCCTTTCCTATCACAGCATTTTTGGATCCAAGCCAGGGACTTTCCTAAAGCCACCCAAGGAGTTCAGGGCAGAGGCTGCCAAGTGACACTTGGCAACACAAAGCCTTTATATTTATCTAAGAGTCTAAATAGTTCATTTCAGGCCCAGTTTACAAGTGTAGTCTCCTACATAGAATTACAGAATGACAAAGCTGGAAGAGATTGCAAAGGCTATCTAGTCCAATTTCTTACCATGCAATACACAGCTACAGCACCCCCATCTGATGGTAACCCAACTTCTGTTTAAAGATCCCCAAACTGCTGGTCTCAAACAACAGAAAGACATAGATAGTATTCAACAGGATAAATAAATCACATGTGTGATTCTTTCTGACTTTAGTGCTTCAAGTAGATCAGATTTTCCATGTTTAGCAAGTACGCCAAAGCCATATTTTAAAAAGAAAAAAGATTTCATAGTAACTGTGAGATCGTTGACTTAAACATTTGGTGAGATGTTTCAAATGGCGGTTGACCTGAAGTGGCTTGCTATATAGAACTTGGATCTCTCTCTTATATTATTTCCTTCTACGTGTATCAAGAGTGGTCATGACTATAATGTTCTATACTCACGCTTTCTAGTAGGAAGAGATCCCAAGAGATATGTATATTGTATGGGCAAAGGACCCTGAGCACTCTCCAGAACACTGAGATTTGGATTCTGGGGCTTCTGCTTTATGATATTCTCCAGGTTGATGTTCGTCTTTCCATTTGTATCCTGAAACACCAAATATAATCCCATTATCCCATTGCCACAAAGGTTTTTAAAATATAATTCTTGGTGTTGTGTGTCTTGAAGTCAATTTCAACTTAGTGACCTTATCACAGAGTTTCTCAGTTGCGTTTGTACATAGTAAGTTTGCCATTGCTTTCCTTTAAGACTGAGGATGTGCCTACAATGGGAGTTGTAGTTTGGTGAGGCCCAAGCACTCTTGGGCAAAGAAGGTTAAGCCATAGCATTGAGCCAAGGAGTGCCAAACTTCATTGCTTCTACAGTATAGTTGCACCCATACACAGTATGATTTGCCCAAGATCACCCAGTGGGTTTGCATAGCTGAGCAGATCTGCTGGAGTCCTAGCCAAACATACTAGACCATGTTGTTTCTGATTTAAGATTACCACTTGGGAGCTCTGTGTGCCAAGTTTGGTTCAGTTCAATCGTTGATGGAGTTCAGAATGCTCTTTGATTATAGGTGAACTACAAATCCCAGCAACTATAACTCCCAAATGACTAAATCAATCCCCCCTCCCAACCCCACCAGTATTCAAATTTGGGTGTATCAGGTATTTGTGCCAAATTTGGTCCAGTGAATGAAAATACATCCTGCATATTAGATATTTGCATTACAATTCATAACAGTAACAAAATTACAGTCGTGAAGTAGCAACGAAAATAATGTTATGGTTGGGGGTCACCACAACATGAGGAACTGTATTAAGGGGTCATGGCTGGAGGTTGAGAAACACTGCTAGAAGGGGAGTTTGTTTGGCCTCAGGTTTGCCTGTGAAATATCATCAGAGGCAGAATCCCCTCTGCAGACGGTGATCTCTTCTCCTTTTCCAAGCCATTAACACTGCCCCGTCTGGATTCGCTGGCTATACATGTAAGTCATTTAAGACAACCACTTATTAATAACTTATTCTGTATCCAGCATCTGGGTACGCATTTACTAACGCAAATTATTAGAAGTACTCATTGTTAGTGTTATAATGTTATTATTGCTAACCGGTACAAGATTGAATGAATTGTTCAGGTTTTCTGACTGTTTACATTTAGTTAATTAGTAAATAATTTATTTCCATTAATGTGATTTTATAATAAATAAAAATCTTACCTAATAAGTTTAATTAATTGATATTAATTGAAACTTCCCTTTTTATAATATAGTTTATTTTTACAATAGCTCATTCATTAATTATAACCTTTCCTTGGGAAGTGATGTGCTAAAAACCTATCTGTGGCCTTGTCTATTTTAATTTCGACCCCCTACTGCTTTATAAACCTGGATTGCTGATTTGCTCCAGGGGAGAGAGAATATATGTGTTTGTGTGTGTAAAAAGGTAAAGGTTTCCCCTTGACATTAAGTCTAGTTATGTCCGACTCTGAGGTGTGGTGCTCATCTCCATTTCTAAGCCAAAGAGTCGGCGTTGTCCATAGATGCCTCCAAGGTCATGTGACCAGCATGACTGTGTGGAGTACCATTACCTTCCCACCAAAGGCGTACCTATTGATCTACTAACATTTGCATGTTTTCGAACTGCTAGGTTGGCAGAAGCTGGGGGTAACAGCAGGAGCTTATCCTGCTCCCTGGATTCGAATTGCTGCCCTTTTGGTCAGCAAGTTCAGCAGCTCAGCAGTTTAACCTGCTGCAACACCACGGCTCCATCATATGTGTGTGTGTGTGTGTGTGTGTGTATGTGTATGTATGTATGTATGTATGTATGTATATGTATATGTATGTAAAATCAGTTGTGTACAGTTGCAGAGAACTTATGGGAAATCCTGGCCACAAACCATTTCACTCCCTTACCATGAATGCAGATTCCTCCTGTTCTAGAGATTTACATTTCTCTTTGCTTTGCCTCCAAATAATAGCAAACAGTATGCTGAAGACTCCTAGGAGAAAACATAATCTAGAAACGTTCACCCAGCAGTGGGACAGTGACTTCTGTAGGCTCCTGTGTTTCATTGCTGCTTTTCACTTTGAGCCCTGAAAGACACTGAAACAGTGGTTCTTCATGCTCTAATATGAGGCAAGAAAGAAAATATTTCCAGAGATTATGCTTCAATGTATTCCAATATTTTGAAGTTATGTTTGCAAAATATCTCTTTTGACCCAAGTTCACTCATGAGAACTGATGTAGTAGGCTAACCTTTCCCAACCCGGGATTTGCAATTAGTCCAACATAACTTGGATGACACAAGATTGAAGAAAAGTGACATAGAAAATCATGAAATGAACTTGTCCAATGCGAGGCACATGTCTTATTGAGGCTACAGGTCACGCAAGCAACTGATATAAACTTTTTGCAATAGGACTGCTGTAGAGAGTCAAAAAGAGTAACCACACTGAACATTTCAAAACAGAAGGATTTCCTTAGCTTGGAGAATCAGGCTCCACTGCCACATAAAATCCAGATTACCTGCTTTGAACTGGATTATATGGCAGTGTAGATCCATCCTCAAAGTCCCTATGTTCTACTTCAGAGGTGATTATGTCTTTGTAACATGGGTAGGTCATGATTTGCCCTGGATTTTAATAGAAACTGGAGACAAGTTTACCTCTTTCCTTCCAGCTGGACATCTTACTGGCCTATCTCCAATATCAATTTTTCCCATAGGCCATTCCCAATTTGGCAGGGACAGCCTTGATTAATACTCTATCCATTTTCTCAAATGCTTTTAAAGTATCTCAGTTTTAATCACTTTTCTAGTTCCTTTTTAAAGCATCCCTTCTCTGTCTTCCTCCTGCTTTCCCCCTTTCTTCCCCAGCTTATTCCAATAGCTGCAAACAGAAAGTGCAAAAGCAGTGCATTCAGGTAACTCAGCAAGGGGAGAGGAGAGGGTGAATTCTCACACTTCCCTGCGGGCTCTGGCAAAAGCAAACTGTTGCAGCATCCCCTACAGCTTGTATGTTCTTCCTCGTTTAATAACATTTGCCATCTTAATCACCTCTGATTTTGTCTTGCTGAAAACTTTCATGGCCAGAATCACTGGGTTGCTGTGAGTTTTTCAAGCTGTATGGCCATGTTGGAGATGCTCACGATAATGTTTTTAAGGCTTTGTATGGTTTTTTATATTCTTATGTTGTATGCTAATGATTTTAACAGTATTTTATGATCGTTTTATTTGTTATAATTGTTGAGGCATAAAACTGTTGCCAATTGTGAACAACTCCAAGTTGCCTCTGGGCTGAGAGGGGCAGTTTATTTATGTGGTAAATAAATAAATAAATAAAAATGTTCCAGTAGCATTAACTCCTGACATTTCACCTGCATCTGTGGCTGATATCCAGAGGTCTGTGGGTAGTGAGGCAAGTGGAGTGTATATATATCTGTGGAATGTCCAGGGTGGGAGAAAGAACCCTTGTCTGTTTAAAGTAAGTGTGATTGTTGCAGTTAGCAAGCTTGAATAGCATTGAGTATAGCATAAAGCTGCAAAATCAATCAGTGAGGGAGGTATCTGCATAGAGGTAGCCTGGCTGTTGTCACCTGAAGGCAGCCTCTGTTTAGGAGGTGTTAATTGGGACTTGATTGTTTCCTGTCTGGTGTTCCCCTGTTTCTGAGTGGTGTTCTTTGTTTTCTGTCTTAATTTTGGTGTTTTTTTAAATAGTGGTAACCAGGCAGTAAAAGCCCAGGTCACCTTTATCCAGACACCCTCGCTGATTGATTTTGCAGTTTTCTAGCTACTCAATGCTATCTCAGTTTGCTAATTGCAACATTCACACTTGCTGTAAACAGACATGGGTTCTTTTTCCAACCCTGGACATTCCACAGATATATATACACTCCATTTGCCTCACTACCAACAGACCTTGGAAAAGGAGATAGTGCTACTGAAACATGGCCATGCAGCCCGAAAAAACTCACAAGAACCCAATTCTGCTTCTTTCTTTCTTTTTTTTGGCCACACTTGGGATTCCATCTATAAAATTCTTGAGGGCATGAAGTTGCCTTGTTTGTTCTAGGCACCCCTCTCATTCTCCTTTTACACTGCCCAGCGTTTGTTCTTTTAAATAAACACAGTTGTTGGCTAAGTACTTGCCCAGGAAGGCTTTACAGTGGTTTTTTTCTAGTTGTGACGATTATGGGCCAGCAGTGACACCCTTCATGGCACTGTGGTCTGGTTGAGTCCTTCTGCCACAGGACTATCCACCGCCTCTTCTCCTGTTAGCTTCCAACTGCCATGGAACCTCTATGCCAATCAACAGGAACAGAACCTTCTACTTGGCTTCCTTCCATAACTCCCTTTTGAGCAATTGGTCAACCTCACTACCAGAGCCTTGATAATTATACTTTTGGGGAACTACAATTCCTAGATAGCTGGTGTTATGCTGGTTGGGGGATTCTGATATGTGTAATCCAAAAGCTAATGGTTTCAAACTCTGCCCCAGCACTGAATGTTAATGATCACACACATATATCTTAAGTTTTTGGTTGGTCAATTTCAGATGAAAGGTGTATCTCAGGGATCCTCAAACTTTTTAAGCAGAGGTCCAGTTTATGGTCCTTCTAACTGTTGGGTGTTCTTGGTATAATTGTTTCCTAGGGATACAAAATGGCTATTACTTCTTTAAGATGGGTACGTATAATTATCCCATCTGCTGCTCTTGTGTTGGCAGCTAGCAACTGAGGGAGACTCTGAAATGGGCCTACCCCATAGTGTCCCCATGGCTCTCTTTGTGGCTCTTTCCTTCCTTCCCTCCCTCCTTTTCCTTTCTTTCTTTTCCTATGGCAAAGGTTATGACGACTGCAAGCAAAGGTGGCAGGGGCTGGGAAAATTGCTCCGGGGGCTAGATCTGGCCCACAGGCCTTAGTTTGGGGACCCTGGTGTAGATATACCCTTCTTCTCCAAAAAAACACATACTTTTGAAAACTATTTTTTTCAGTTATGAAATTATTGCCATCACATAAAATAGTTTGGAATTAGTAAGTCACAATGAACACTTGAAAAAGCTAATCTCTAGATTTACCTGGAAATTAGGAATCATGGGGAAGAATTCAGTCTAACAGGAAGGCATTAGAAGGGGAAAATGCACCTTCTTCTTCTTCTTCTTCTTCTTCTTCTTCTTCTTCTTCTTCTTCTTCTTCTTCTTCTTCTTCTTCTTCTTCTTCTTCTTCTTCTTCTTCTTCTTCTTCTTCTTCTTCTTCTTCTTCTTCTTCTTCTTCTTCTTCTTCTTCTTCTTCTTCTTCTTCTTCCCCACTTTATCTCCCCAAAGGGGACTCAAAGCAGTTACAAAACCGCTACAAAAGTGTTAGGACTCATTCAATAAGCCCCTAGTGTACTCGAAAACCAGATCCCAAAAAGATGAACACCAGAGTCCGCAGCTCCATAGGGACTAATAAGGAGCCTGCATTGACCCTTTCTCTAGTTTCAAGTCACTCTTCATTGAACTTCTCTAGAATGCTGCACAATACACTATACACATCCTCAGGGAATGACCATACACTAGTTAACATAATCCCTTCACAATACCCTGAGAAGACACACAGAACACATAACAGAGTTTAGGAAGAGCCACAGAATTTTTCCTGATACTATCTGATTTTATTCCAGGGAATGTTTCGTCACCTCTATTGCTAAATCCCTGGGGTTTCCATTAAATTTGCCAACACCCTGAACACCCTTTTATCTACTGGCTGGCACCCATTGTATTGACTGAAACAGAAATATCAAACCCCATTTAAACCCATTATCTCCGGCCCCTCACATTCCTTTCCACTCTTCCTCCATTAACAGTACACAGAAACAAGCCTTCAAATATACTAATGGCATTTTATGAAATTTCCTTCCAAATCCAGACAACGACAGACAGTGCATCCCAGCCAAGCTGCCTGCAGATCGTAGCTTGCCATAACCTTCACCAATCGACACTCAGGGCAGCAGAAATCTTTTTTTTCAAGCTGCTGTCAGGGTCCTATAAATATTTTGGTATATTTGCATTGAGGTATGTCAGCCTTTGTAGCTCAGACTCAGCTGACATCTACTTTGGCCAAGGTGAAACACCTCTGATTTTGCCTTCAACCCATCTGTTTTTCATTTGATCCTTTGGGAGCCAATGCACCATGCCCTGAACTCACAGTTTTCCAATCCCTATGAATCCAACCCCACCCCCCCCAATTACTCCCTTGCTAGAATGGGTTCCTGGGCCTCAGGGTTATACTATTTGGGTTCTTTAGGCCTGGCATGCATGGCCTGACTCTAATTCAGGCTAGATAGAAAGCAGAAGCTTTAACTATACCAAGCCTATAACCACCATAATATAATATAAATAGATGGTATATGTTATCTTTCAAGACAGCTCAGAATTACTACCTAAAGCACCTTGTTTCCATCTACCTAAGAGGAGGGCTGGCCTTATGTGAATGTAATGTTGGAAAGTAAAGAAACTCAAGCTGCAGTGTCACAAACAGCTCTCTGCTTACAGCAATCCCCATTTCTGTAGTGCAGGCTGTGTGTACACCACATCCCTTCTGCGAAACATGCCAATGTTTGAAGAAGCAAAGAAAAGGTGAATCTGTATTCGCCTACCTAGGCCACAACTTATTTGTACTAACAAGTCTCCAGAGCAGCTTCTTTGTTGCACTGAAATGCCAAGTCAGGAAATCAAGCCTAATAGGAGTGTTTTTGTAGTCCTTCCAATATTAGAAAAAGCGAAGAGGGAGTGGGAGGCCGTTGCCCATTCCCTGAGTTCCAACGAAAGATCCTTGGTCTAAATGGTTGCCAGCTGATGACAGCTAATAAGCCAGGCTCCGATGTTGAATGCTCAGGTTTACCACATGGCCCCTGCTGAGTTCGCAATCTGGAATTTGGCTTTGCTGCCTGTGGCTTTCAAGCATTTCAACAGATGCAGCACATTGATTTAATGTTTCAAAGGAACCCCCACTGTGGCTTCCACAGCTTGTTCCATTGCCTTGGGAGATAGGCGGTAACATACAAACAATGGCAGTGATGCCACTCAGCAATTTT